ATAGCCTTGCTAGGTCAAGGAGCAGAATAGATAGTAAACATTGGAGATGTCAGCTACCTCAGCTTTAAATTATAAGCTCTGAGGAAAATGGAAGACATGGAGAGTGTTTATAGACCTCGGACTCTGTGTAGCAGCAAGCGCTCCAAGGGGACACCCATTTCCAACACGTTTGATCCATTTGTATGGGATCCTCCAAATCCACGGCGTGGAGGAGGCGCTTGGGTGCCTCCGACTCCTCCGCACCCTACGGAAGGGGTTGTGGAAGTGACGGAGGGCTTGGTAAGTGCGAAAGTTAGGGGAGGAAGCCCATCGTTCACCCAAAAATTGATGCTGGCGAGTAGGGACAAAGAGTCACTGCTGGAAGAAGCCCTACGTCTGAAACGGATGCTCATCGATCAAGCGTTTTATCTAAAGCGGGACAAGGTTCATGCATCGACAGTCAAGATTGAGAACAGGTGATTGTTTAGCTCCGAGCATTTCATGCTTACAAGAAATAGAAAGCAGGAAGCTGGAGAACGATATTAAAGACATGGAGATGCAAACGAACATGCCCTCGTACAAGACAAGTGGAGCAACTAGAGTTAGAGCAAAACTCCAAGGTATGCTTGGTGTTTTACACCGTAAGAAATCCTAAATGTCCTATGATTAGGAATGAAGATAAGGTACGAGGAGCTTCAGAACATCTGTGATGGCCAGCACGAAGAGATAACTCACTTACGGAGGGACGTTCGGATATCACACGCAAGAGTAAGCTAATTGTAAGCAGCAGAAGTATTAATCCAACTGCTTTTGCTCCACAGACGTATATGATACTGATTCCCCGCAGGAAATAGAAATGGAGCGGGATGTTTTCGTGGAGGAGATAGCCAAGCTGCAAAAGGATGTCAAGCGGCTCAAGTCTTTGAACAGTCAGCTCTGCTGCGAGAACAAGGAACTGTGTCGAATCAGAGACAGAGCAGGAGACCTAGAACTAGTTAATCACCATCTAGAGAATTGCATGGACGTGAGTGCTTCCCTTTTCTTGGCTCAAAAAGAACCGCTTGCTGTTTTTCAGGTTGTAAGCCGGGCCCTGGAGAGGGCCAACCGTGACGTCGTGACTTATAGGCAGAGGGTAACCGAGACGAGTCTCAACGCCAGAAGAAATGCCAAGCGGTGCAAGGATTTACAAGACCAGATTGCGCTGATGAAGGATTGCCTGCACAAGGAGAGACACGATAGGAAGAACCTGGAAGCCACGCGCGTGTGCCTGGAAGCGGAGCTTATTAAAGTGGAACAAAAGATCAGAGCTAATGGTGGGAGCGTATCGTCTCCTGGGTCTCCCAAAAGCAGCAGCCCCAGGTCAGCTCGAACGATATAGAGGAAGTGTGAGAGGTGGCCGAGACAGAGGTGAGGAGTGAAAGGTCAGCTCGGCCAACATAGTAAGTAGCATATGCAACCATCCGTGCACGAGTCAAAACTTGAACTGGTGTCCCCATCATTCAGCTGCTGCGGCTTCAAGCATGGGGAGCAGCTCCTGGTAGACAATGCGAATGGCGGGCCGAGCTGATGGCTCTGCTGAGATGCATCGCAAGGCAAGCGTTAGAAGCTGTTGCAGCTCCAAGCTGCCGGCATGCAGGTGAGGGTCAAAGCACTCACTGGACCTGTTGTGCGATACGAGCAGCTTAACCCACTCTGGGAGATCGACCGCAGTGGAGCCCCCAGAGATGACGTCGTCTGCAGCCTTGGCAGTGAGGATCTCGAGCAGGAGGACCCCGTAGGCATAGACATCCGCCCCGGTGGTTGGCTTTGGACGCTTGATGTTCGACAGCTCTGGAGCTCTGTAACCAAGAGCTGCCGCATTGACAAACTGGCTGGCTGTTCCCGCAGCGGTCATGAGCCTGTGCAGGCCATAGTCGGTGAGACGTCCACGCAGGTCGGATCCTTCAAACAAAACATTGGACGCCTTGAGGTTGCCATGCGCAAGCTTGTGATCGTCGTGGAGATAGCACAGGCCTCGGGCAATATCCGCGGAGACTCGTAGGCGCTGAGGCCACGACAATGGTGGATATCGGCCAACACCGGATGACTTCTCTGCAACGTAATTTAGATGTAGGTGAGCACCACAAGACGAGAACCGTACCTGCAGTTAAAAGTCGGTCCGCTAAGCTGCCATAGGCAACGAAATCAGTGAGGATGAGCTTCTCGTGTTCCCTGGGCCCCCAGTAGTAGCCCCGCAATGGGAGCACGTTGTCGTGCCTGATGCCTCCAAACCTTCTGGCCTCCATGGTGAATTCCCGCTTGCACTTTGCCAACCCTTCCTTGAGCCACTTGACAGTGATGGTATGACCACTGTCCAGTGTTGCTTTGTACGACGTTCCATGGCTGCTTCGGCCAAGAACCTCCGCTGGTGCTCGTGACAGCTCTTCGGCAGTGAAGAGCACGTCGCCATCCCAAAGGAAAAGATCGCCTGCTAGCTTGTCTGGGGAGTTCCAGCCTAAGGCACCCTCCTCCTCCCTCGCACTTGCTGGTCTCAGCGACGAGAAGAAGCCCTTTCTCGAGGGCAACCGTTTCAACACGTTGTCGTCCTTCTCATTCTCTACCTGCCGCTGCTGCTGCTGCTGCTCCTGCTGCGGCTGCTGCTGGTGATGGACCTTGAAATCTCTCTCCACAATCTTAAACACCGGAATGCCAGACTTGTTGTCACCTTGACTTTGCCGCTGCCTGTTGTAATAGACAAGGCCGACTATAGCGAGGGCTAGTAGCAAGGCTGCAGCACAACCGCCGAGGAGGCCAGCTTTGAGAGACGGAGACACTCGACCATTCCGCCGGGTTTTGTTGACAAGGCCCAAGGGCTGGTTGGCCTGTGGTGCATGGCCATTCCAGCTGGGGAAGCCATTGGACAGGAGCTGGGCGTTTCCAGGGTAGAAGGACGAAGGCGGGAACTTGGATTCTAGCTGGGACGGAATGGCTCCCGAGAGGTTGTTGTTGGAGAGGTTGAGCAGAGTGAGTGTAGGAGGACCGAGCGTTGAGGGGATGGAACCGGTGAGCTGGTTAGAGGAGAGGTCGAGCTGCTGCAGGCGATCGAGTTTGGTCACGTCCACCGGTATGTCACCCGATAGCTTGTTGTTGCTGAGGTTGAGAAACTGCAGGGTGGCCGTGAGGAGGCTGGAGGGAATAGCGCCATCCAGCTGGTTGCTTGCCAAGTCGAGAAGGCGCAATGGAGCGTCGGTGGCGCTGGCGGTCGGGACGGGAATTGTCCCGGAGAGCCGGTTGCTGGAGAGCTTGAGTGCTACGAGCGTGCATGAGTTGAAAAAGGTGGGGGGTATGGGGCCGAGCAAGGTGTTGCCGCTCAAGTCCAAGCTCGTCAACTTGGGGAAGCTTGCGAAGGCAGCAGGGATGCCACCCTCGAGCTTGTTGTTCGCAAAAGCGAGTGAGGTGAGGCGCAGGAGCTGCGCAGTCTGGCTGGGCAGTGCGCCCGAGAGGGAGTTGTTGCTGAGGTCCATCCATTCCAAGCTGTTGCCCCACGACCTCATGACGGACAAGTTGCCGGAGAAGGTGTTGGCGCTGAGGTCCACTCGGGCGCAGCTGCCAAGCCGTGGGGGCAGGCCGCCCGACAAGGCGTTGCGGGAGAGGTTGAGCAGGGTGAGGCGAGCAGCTGAGATCGTCCAGACATTCCCTGTGGTGGCCATGCATGCACACGTAAAGACATGTATAAGGCCAGCCATTCTTACCTGAGAGCCGGTTGTTGCTCAGATCCAGCTCCTCGAGCAGTGACGCTTCCGCCGACAGTAGCGCAGGTGGCACAAATCCCGTGAACTGGTTGGCCCGGAGCTTGAGAACCCGGAGCGAGAAGACAAACTCAAACGAGGGGAGGGAGCCGGCCAGGGCGTTGGCGCTGAGATCGAGGATCTGGATCTTGTTGGCGAAGAGATTGTTGGCGGCGTCGTCTGGTGCCAGCGGGCCGGAGAGCCGGTTGAAGCTCATGTTGACGTAGAGCAGGTCCGGGGGGAGAAGCGAGGCGATCCAAGGGAGGGGGCCCGACAGGCGGTTGAGGGCGAGGTGGAGGCTCTGGATGGCGGGCAGCAGCATCCACGAGGAGGGGATGCTGCCCGTCAGCTGGTTGGCGGCCAGGTGGAGGAGCTCCAGGTGCTGGAGACGGCCCAGCTGCGCCGAGAGGCTGCCGTTGAGCTGGTTGCCCGACAGGTCGCACACCCGGAGCAGCTCCAGCGCCGCCAGCGAGGCTGGGATGGGGCCAACGAGCGCATTGTTGCTCAGGTCGAGCTCCTCGAGTGCCGACATGCCGGTCAAGGCGTCGGCCGGGATGGGCCCCGACAGGCGGTTGTTGGCCAGGGACAGCCTCTGCAACCGTCGCAAGCCGCTGCCCATTGCCGGGATCATCTCTCCGTCCAGCATGTTCCCCGACACATCGAGCTGCTCCAGGAGAGAGAGGCGAGCCAAGTCGGCAGGGAGCGGGCCAGACAGCAGGTTGTTGGCAAGCGACAGGTAGACGAGCGAGTGGAGAGCACCCAGCGTATCGGGCAAAAGGCGGCCAGACAGTCCCAAGCCTTGGAGCTCCAGCCGGCTCACCCGGCCGTCCTTGTTGTCGCAATACACACCATGCCACTTTGATGGGCACCCATTGGAGTCCTTGCTTTCCGGCAGCCATGACTTGGTGAGACTGCCCAGCGGATCTTTGTCTATTCCCTTCATAAAACTCAGCAACACTTGAGTGTCGTCAACACTGGCACCTCTACACCCATGGTGCTGCACCGCTAGCAGCGCTGCCGCCGCCATCACCACCACCATTGCCCATTCGACAACCATTCTGCTAACCTCGTAGCGCCTCCCTCGCCTCACTCGCAGCAACACCCTTCTCTCCCTCGCTTTCTCTCACCTCACACTACTTAGTTAAAATATACAATCTTCTTCCCGCCCGCTTGTCCAAGCTTCGAAGAGCGTGCTGGCCAGGCAGATCTGAAGGTTTGCAGTGCCAGTGAACACACAATGAAGAGAGAGGCGGCTGAAAATGACACACACAAACACTAAATTATATATATACAAAGCATAGTTTTAGTTCAGCAGAGATCCCTTCAAAAATACAGGCCTAACACAAACCTCGTCGGATTGAATCCTGCTAACAATGCTGAAGTTTGCACCGAGTGAGAGAGAAACACAAACTAATACCTGAGATATCTACACTTACCGCACGGGAAGAGGACAACGAGGACAGCCACCGGATACAGGAAGAACGTAGTTCTCTCCAAAAAAGGCAAGACTAGTAGCAAGCACATTAGGTAAGGCAAGACTACAGCGAACTCACCATCATAACCAAGGAAATTGAGGTAGTGGTAATATGAAAGTGAAACCAAGAAGAAAAGGTTGGAAAGCAGCGTGGGGACGAACCCCCGAAGAATAAGCAGAGGAGAAAAGAAATAATGGATCACTGCAACCAGCAGGATGGCGTCAGTCCCACTCAGAGCGACGTCTGTTTCTAGTCTCACCGTAGAGCACGATGAAGAGAGGAAAGTAGGCATTACAATGCACGTCAAACGCATAGAGCCATTCCACACGCTGTTCCACCACATGGCTGTGGATTGCTGCTTCTTCCCGGAGGTAGCGATTGCAGAGAAACCTGCAGCTACCGTCTGAAGCTTGAACGACTCGTTACCAAGCGCTTACCAGCAGATGCTTGCCAAGGAGATGCCGGTGAGTAAAAAGTGAAGCCAGACGACTCCAACGACAGTTACGCCGGCCTGGAGGAAGCTGGAGCCGTACCTGTGGCGCGGAGCAGCAAGAGGTCAAGGTAAGGAGGGGAGCATGAGCTTACGCGGCACAGTAGGCGGAGGCAGCCAGCGCCAAGAAGATGCTGCTGATGACGGTGAAGGCTGGATCATCGCGTGCCCACTGGTTCTTGGTTTCTGCACGAAACAAAGGCCCAACTGTTTGTGTTGCAGTTGAAAGCAATGGCGTCAAGCTTCGTACGCTTGTGATATTTGGTGTGCTGGTAGCTGTAATTGGGAAGTATGAGCTAAGGAGAGGTGGCTGTATGCTTACACGACTTTGGGTGCGGTACACAAGTGCAACATTTGCCAAAAGGTGTACTCGACATCCATTTGCCTCCACTGCAACAAGACGGTCAGCGGCAAAGAGAGAGGGAGAGAGGGGAGGGCACCTTGACGATCCGGCGCAGGTAGTGTGGCAGCTGCTGCTGCTGCTGCTGCGGGTGCCTCAAGCCGCGGCCCGCCGTGGTGGGAAGCATGCTGCTGCCGCCTTTTAGGGCATTAGGGCAGCCATCGCTGCCCTAAAACGCGAGGCGAGTGACATGGAGGTGGAAGCGGAGGCGCAGGAGAGGCCGCGGGACGAGGATATTATGGCGCATCACCAAGCCGTGTGCCAAGAGGGGACGTGCAAGTCCGAGTTTGTGGGTGACAAGGTGAGCCCTTGCTCTCGCTCCCCCTCATAACTCTCTTTGTTTTGTTTAGGAACCACTGTCGGTGCTGGCTGCCGAGTACGAGTTGGGGAATCCCGTGTTCAAAGCCAAGATTGAGGTGTGCCCGGGCGCCAACTCCGCATGCGACTAACTGACCACGTATTTTTCAGAACAGCAACTAGGGAAAACATATGGAGCAATCCGTCGGACCCGAGGCGATGGCAATTGCTTCTTCAGGAGCTTCATGTTCGCGTATCTGGTCCGCCTTGGCTTTCTCGTATTCGCCTCGCACTTACCACTGCCTCGTCCTTCAGGAGCACGTTCTGGAAGCGGAGGACGAGAGAGAAGCTGCCCGGGTGCTGCAAAACGTGGAGCAGTGCCGAAACGCCTTAGTCAGCTTAGGCTATGCCGAGTTCACCTTCGAAGACTTCCTGGCGGTGGGTTTATAGCATTATTTGTTCCCATCTGAACGTGCTGCGAGCAGATATTTGTGGAACAAGTGGAAAACGCTCTACCGGGCAAGCCAACGTCGATGAGGTATCCCGCTACTCCCAGATGAGGTTTGGATTTCACCCTCAACTTTGTGCTTTCAGCATTGGAACGCTTGTTGAGCGCTGCCGCGATCAATACATTTCGAACTATGGTATGCTTGGCTTTACTCTGTTACGCCATTATCATCACCACGCTGGTGTTGTAGTGATTATGTTCTTCAGATTTGTCACGTCGTCCGAGATTCGCAGGCGAGCCGAGTTTTTTGAGCCATTCATTCTCGGGATTTCGAGCACTACGGTTGATCAGGTATAGGTACACCAATGGGAATGGCTCACCTGGCGCTCATATGGTTGCAGTTTTGCAAATCTTCCGTGGAACCCATGGGCGAGGAGAGCGACCACGTCCACATAATTGCCTTGACAGATGCCCTGGGTGTGCCTGTCCGTGTAGTCTATCTGGACCGCAGCATCTGCGACAACGGCAAGACCACGGACGTGAACCACCACGACTTCATACCAGGGGGAGCTGATGCAGAGGAGCAGAGATGTGAGAACCCCCATGTTGTCCTGCTCTACAGGCCAGGGCATTACGACATTCTCTACCGCAAGTAAATCTGTATTGCTTGTGCCCGTGAATAAGAATGCCGGTCTTTTACAAAGCAACGCAGCCGGGGTGGTACGCTTCGTGCTCGTTGCCATCCGCATACGTCCGGTGTGTTGGGGGCAAGGGCACGTTGGAGACGCCATCGGGCGCTAACAAACGACGGCACTGCCTGCAAGCATCATAGGCAGTATAGAAACGCGAGACTTATATACGTACTTGCAAGGCTTGGCAAAGAGAGAGCGATAGGAGAAGAGCCACGTCTGTGTCATGAGAGGAGCCTTTAAAGAGTGCAAAGAATGAGCAGAGGGTTTTACCAGGAGGAGGAGGAGGGTGGCCGAGGCATTGGCAACGCGCGTAAAGTGGTGCATTGCGTTGGTTGCGCACTCCTGCACTGGCAAGCGTCAGCCGAGCTCTCAGCCAAGGCAAGCACCTACTGAAATCCGTTGGAACGTCTGATGCGTGGAGGCTCCCCACGCGTCCATGTGCGGCTGCAAGAATCGCGTGAGTCCAATCATCGAAGTGTATATCTACGACCGAAGGGGACCTCGTTGGGCGAGTAGATGGCAATCGCATCCGGATTGGGAGAGCCAGCCGGGAGCAGTGAGATGACTGCCCTGAGCACACCAGGGATGGCGACATGGAGCAGTGCAGCATCGTGGACTTGACACGAGGGTGACTTGGAGAGGCGCGAGTGCGGAGTGATGGACATCCCTGGGGCCTCCTGGAGGCAGCGCTTCACCACGTCCGGCAGCGAGTGTGCTGGTGTGTTGCGCGGCTCCTCGTCACCCTTGGCCGCCGCCTTTGCCATGTGTGGAAGGAAGCGCTTCTTCTGCTCGCAAAACGATCTGAGGGCAAGCTTAGTCCGATCAACTGCAGATGCCGCAGCTTGGCCCGCAATCTGGCGCTTCCACGAGTAGGCTACCAGCGCTCCGTCGGGGCACACCACTGGCACCTGGAGCCCCCATGGCTGGTTGTCCTGATACCGCTGCTGGGCACCCACAAACACGCCCGCCGCCTCCAGCTCCTTGGCTGTATCCACGCACAAAACCTCAGCGCCTAGTGCGCCTAGTGCGCTTGCTATTACCTGTGGCGCGGAGGAGATCCATGGCACGCTTGCTACCTTCCACCGCCGAGGAGATGGCCTGGTTTGCTCGCTCCGGGTCGTGGACCCGCAGGCTGTCCGCACTGTCGAATGCCTCGAGCAGCGCATCCGCTCCAGAGCGGACATCTGCAATCAGCCGGATGGCTCGGTTCAAGCCCTCGAGTGCACTGGCAAGCTGCTTGGGCGGCGCCTCCATTCACCCGACCTAGAATAATAATATTTTTGGGCGGCGCTTCATAGGTACAAGGAGTTGGCGAACATGATGCCCCGCCGTATGCTCTCGATCCCTGCCTCAAACTTCTTCTCCAGCTCACCGTTGCCAATGGCCTGGAAAACTAACCGCAGCTGCACATGAAAACAAGCAACGTGTGCTTGAGTGTATAGAATAGCATCCACGTCTACCTGGTTCAAAAACTCTTCCAGCCTCCTTGCCACCCGGATAATGCTACCTTCAAATATGTCCGTCATCTCGCAGATCTCCGCAAAGCTTGATCCCTGCAACTCATATATGTCACAACTCACACCCAGAGCCCCCCAAGATTTACATGATAGACGCACCTTGGACCAGCTGTAAATCACGTCCATCAGATATGGTTGAAACTTTTCAACGTAGTGCTCCACTTCTGTTTCCAGTTTGCACTCCCTCTCCACCTGAGAGACAGCCAAGGGTGACAATCAACTTCCAAGTCCCACAAGAGTCATACATACCTCGGCAATCATCCGAGCCGTGTCTTGGAGGCGCCGGAAAGGCCAGGCCAGCTCCGCCTTGAGATGAATTTGCTCATTGGATTTTTCAATTGGTAGAAAGCAGCTCGAGAGCGCCACAATCTGATGGTGATCAAGATCGTTGAAGAGCCCTGCATGCCCGCAATCTAAGACTGGTTCGATGCACATTGTATTTTACCCTCAAAGATCAGCTCCGCTACAAGCAGCTCATCCGCGGTGTCAATCAGGCAAGCTGCGCGACCTTTAAGCTGTACGACTGAGAGCTCGTTTATGTGTCCCAGCCGCTTCAATACTCTCGTCCGGTTCCGAAGCTCTTCCCGAAACTTGTGCAGCTACGCACACGAAAGAAACCGGGAAGTTAGTAGGTCCAGAAACCCAGAGTACACGCACGTACTAACCTGAGAATCTCGCAGTCTAGACCTCAGCCGCTGTGCTTCAGTCAACAGCTCGGCCTTCTTCTGGAAAGCTGAATAATGGCTTGCCTCTTTCTCCGACTGGGAGTAACGGCATGTCGTCAATACAAAGACCCAAATTTTCCACACGTACCTTGTGTAAAGGGTGGACAACCAGTTTTTTCTCCTCCTCATCAATTTGCTTCACGATACTCACAAGCTCCGGATCATCTATTTGCATGTCCTGCACAGCCGAAACAGAGTCATGCCACGACGAAACCATTGATGCACCTCCACAGGATCCAACCGTGGCAAGCCGTCCGGGAATCGTCGTTCAAGCTCCTGCATTGCCATCAGTACACTCAATCGGGCATCCGCTGGCCGCAAATCAGTGGGAACAGCCACCCTGAGAGTACTGATTGCGCAGAGCAGGGTCATTTGCACGGGGACCTGATACGCCAACACCGTAATCAGCGGCACACAAACCAGTCGACACGCGGACACACTCACCACATGCATCTCTCCTTTCTGCCCCGGTGAGCAGGGCCTCGGTTTCAAACGCGAACCGTCCAGTTCCATACCCGGAGCACAAAGTAAAAGGGTGTCTACCAGGTACGAGGCAGCACGGGGCGCTGCCACAATGGTTGAGGGGAGCGGTCCACCAGGCGTGGGTTTCTTGACGACATTGATGACAACACCCCAACCCCAATCGTCTGCTCCGTCACGAACTTTCACCTGGCAAAACAAAGTCATCCACAGGAGGCAACCAAAAGAAACCCATACCAATCGACCGGGTTGTAGAAATACAATAATCCGATCAGGCCGGATAATTTCTGACATGAGCTGTCTTTCAAGTTCTGCAAGCTTTAGTCTTAGACGGTGGTACTCGGCAACAGTCTCCTGAAAGGATGCAGAATCAGATGAGGTAACCACAATGACTTGGAAAGCACCTCTCCCGCCGCATCCAGCAATGCGGCTTCTTGCTCCAGCTTGTTGATCCTGTTCTCCATTTCGGGGACATTCTGCAAGCAATACCGACGTTCAAACCCGAGAACAGATATAAATCGGGCAATCAGACCTTCTCGTGCTGAAACTGATGGAAAGAATGTTTCATCACGTACTCCATGTCAAAGTGCCCCTCTGCACGGCTCATCAAATTCAGCAACGAGTAGTAGCTGAGCCTGAAGGTGCTGACTAGCGGAGCAGGCTTCCCCAGGATCATTTCCCTGCACGTGCTGACATCCATCTACAAGCAAGAGCGAGCGAGCAGTCCGGTTTCTGTCAGTTGCTAAACTCTACCTGGTCATCGATCATTATGATGCAAATCCCACGCTCGTCCTTCCCGCGTCTCCCAGCCCTTCCACTCATCTGGTTATAAGCACGTCAAGCGGCATCACGTTGATAGGCGAGATTATACCTGTATGTACTCGCCTGACGACATGTAACGATGAGCGTCACCATCCCATTTCCGTAGGGCAGTGAAGACGACAGTCTTAGCAGGCATATTCAATCCCATTGCAAACTGGAAACGAACTGGTGAGTAAGAAAAAGGTAGAACACGAGCGCCCACCGTTTCTGTAGCAAACAAGGCCTTGACAAGGCCCTCCTGGAAAAGGATCTCAACTATTTCTTTCAAGATGGGGAGTAGGCCCGAGTGATGAAAGGCAACCCCACGCTTGAGAAGCGGTAATAGTTGATGAATGGGCGGGAGGCTCCGGTCTTCCTCGCTGAGGCACTGTATGGCGTTGGAAAACACGTGTTCCACGTCCATCTTCTCTTGGTCGCTGTTGAAATCAAGCTTGGATACCGAGAGCGCATACTGCTCGCACTCCCTGCGGCTGAAGCTGAAGACAATGACGGGCTGCATGGAACGCTCCATAATCATCTGGAAAGAGAGGTCATGTTAGGGGGAAGAAGAGGAGAGGCTCATGCAAGACCTTGACTATCTTGTAAATGTCCGTGGATACTCCAGCAGAGGCCTTGGCACCCCCTCGTCCTCCACCTCTCCTGCCTCCCCCTCCTCGCCTCCGCCCCGGAGGCGCGAGGGAATCGTCCGGGCCAGCGTTTCTGGATGACTGCTGCAGCTTGGCGAAGTTGTCGTCCCGAAAGTGGCCCTTGTCGTCCACCATGAGGTAGAGGCCGGAGCCGCCCATGGCGAAAGCATAATGTTGGAGCGGAGTGGGCCTGAAGTCGGTGTAGACAACATGGCACGGCTGCTTGTGCAGGTGGCAGATCCACTGCGCAAACTCGGTGGCGTTGGACATGGTGGCGGAGAGGAAGACCATCTTGATGGCGGGTGGCAGGAGGATGATGCTTTCCTCCCACACGACGCCGCGCTCCCTGTCCCGCATGTAGTGTATCTCGTCAAACACAACCCACGCCACCTCCCTGAGCACCTCGGAGCCCCTGTAGAGCATACCGCGCAAGATCTCCGTGGTCATGACAATGCAGGTTGCGTTGGGGGACAAGCTCACGTCGCCCGTCATGAGGCCGACGTCGCTGAACTCGTGGCTGAGCTCCCGGTACTTTTGGTTGCTCAGGGCCTTGAGGGGCGACGTGTATATGACGCGCTGCTTGTCCCTGAAGGCCATGGCGATGGCATACTCGGCAACCGCGGTCTTACCGGCCGAGGTGTGGGCCGACACCAGCAGCGACTCTTTACGCTCCAGGCAGGCGATGGAGATTTGCTGGAACGGGTCCAGCTCGAACGGGTAGCTCTTGGCCCTGTCGCCCATAAACACCGGCTCTCCAATGCTACCGTGCACCGCCTCATCCAGCTGCGCTATGAAGCCTGTGGGCACCGCCACCTCGTGGACGCAGCTGCGCCCGAGCATGGCATTGGGCTTCTTGCCGCCACCGGCCGCGCCAGCCTCTTGCTGTTCCCGCTCCTTCCTTTTGCCCGCCATCATCCTCCGTAACCTAAAGCTCTCGCACAAAACCCTAGCTAGGAGTAGACGCAGTGACAAGCGAGGGCGTCGCGGATGTGTTGCGCGTCGTCGCCGTCGTGGTGTTGGCCCGTGCTCGCCTCCACCAGCGGCACGTCGTCGTCGTCGCAGCCGTGGTCGGAGTCGTGGCGGCCCAGCAGCACGTTGTGGAGAATGGCGCAAGCCACAACCAGCTCCACAGCCGTGTGGACGTCCACGTTCATAACCTTGGCCAGCACGCCCCAGTTGGTGAGCGCCCCGAACAAGTCCTCCCCCACCGCCGCCGCCTGGAGGAGCCTGTCGTTGAACTCGGCCTTTGCGCCCCTCGTCTCGTCCCCCTCGTGGAGGTGGTAGGGCAGCATCAACCACGGCTGCAACGGGTAGCTGGTGTTGCTGCTCACCAGGTACCGGGGAACGCTGACGGGTGTTGCTCGGGACAAGTCCATGAGGCCGCAGCAGCCTCCCGTGAGCAGCAGGCCGTCCCGTAGCTTGGCAAACAGCCCAGACTGCTTGAGGATCTTGGCATGGTGGACGCCCCCCGGGAAGCCGACGGCGATGTTGAGGATGCGCATGGACGCGTCCACCACCAGCTGTGCCGCGATGCTGAAGTTGGTGTTGTGGTCCAGGTAGTTGGAGCCGCAGGGGCCCGAGGGGCGCCTGATCCGCAGGTGGAGCACCGTGAGGAGGCCGCAGCAGTTTGGCAGGGCCATGAGGTTGTGAAAGCCGCGCGCCACCCTTGTCAGCGCCGCGGCATCCGTGGGGAAGGCGAGCACCGAGCCAAAGGCGGTGGACAGCGCCGCGTACACCTCCCGCGTGCACGTGAGTACCGTCGCCTCGCCCACCGCGAACATCTTGGACACCTCCACGTAGGACGACCCCGCCGCCAGCCTGTGAATGGCGATGGCGATCCTCTTGCGCGGCGGGATGCTGCTTCGGAAGTTGGTGTCGCTCTTGTGTACCAGCGGTGCTAGCTCGCTGCAGAGCCACTCGAAAGTCCCCGGGCTCATGTTGAACAGCCGCCGCGAGCTGTCGGCGTCCAGCCTGCCCGCCACAAACTTGTCACACTCGAGCAGTCGTGGCTTCACCCACCACTCCTTCTCCACCCGCCTGCGCTTGGCCCCCCGCTGCGCAACCGCCACGCCCTGCAGCGCCTGTACATGCCACCAAAGCGCCGCCACCCTGCCGCTCATCTCCTCCCTGTGACTGCTCACCACCCACGTTACCATCTTGGTCACCAGCTCCAGCATGGAGCCCAGCAGCACGGCCATTCGCTGCCGACGCTCCTCACGCTCCCTCGCCGTCGCCGCCATCAACTGCATCAACCCCCATCCGTCATCTCAGAACCCACCCACTGATCATTCATTCCGGTACCTCTTCTTCGTCTTCGCTCTCGCTCCACAGGCCAGGATGAATCATCTTTATCTTGCTACCAAAAGCCCTACCGAGGTTGAAGAGGCGGCATTCTCATGTTTTCAATTTATTCTAGAGGAGCTTGTCAGTTTGAGGAGAGCTTGGAAAGCGCCAACGCAAGCACTCGGACGCCATTCGCCATGTCCTCCAGTGTGGCATGCTCGTCGGGCCTGTGGCTGTAGCCCCGGTAACAGGGAATGAAGATCATGGCGGTAGGGGCGATCCTGAAAGAACACACCAGAACTCAGCGTCTTGAAGAAGGATATACACACCGTGCCATGAAGAGAGAGTCGTGATACGCTCTGCTGATCATCATTTTGTGGCCCAAGCCCAGCTCCTCTGATGCTTCTTTCACGGCTTCAATTACAAAGTCCGTGCTCTGCGCTGGCGGGTCCTGGTTAACGACTGTAAAGTTTTGCAACACCACACCGCGCCTGGCCGCAATTTCGTGCGCGGTTGCCCGGACCCTCTCCACAACGGCGTCCCTTCGGCTTCCATCGATGTCCCTTATGTCTGACCACAAGCAAAGTTAAAAACTAGATGCGCGGCGTGTTATTACCAATGCCAAGCTGTGCATTCCGCGGGATGCTATTGATCGCTCCTGGGTACAGCTTAACCATACCTGCAATACTTTGTCAAAAGTTGGCATATGAATCCCCACATACCGGTGGTTCCAACCGTGTCTTGGGAACCAGATTCCAAGACGTGCCTCTCTACAGCTAGAGCAAGCTCGGCGGCAGCAAGCCCTGCGTCATTCCTGTAGTCGACGAGCAGGCGGGAAAAATGTTTTATGCACAAGCCTTTGAGCAGAATGCAGGATCAGGAAACCAACCTGAGATGCATCAGTACGGCCCCGGCATGACCTCCACCCCCTGCAAACTCGACACCAAGGCTCGCAGGCCCAGCGATTGCGGTGACAATCCCGATGGATACACCTGCCGAGAAACACAAACATAGGCATCCAAAGAGGGGGATGAATCACCTTGCTCCTCGAGAAGGGGGCCTTGCTCAATGTGCAGCTCTACAAAAGCGGCATATGTCTCGTTTCCCACGGCAACACTTTGCAGATTGTCACCGGCTTCATCATATCCAGCTCGATTTGCGGCTAGAGTGAAGGTTATATTGTCCTCGTCAACAGCATTGGCTAGGGAGACGGCCACCCTGGGATCCCCCGCCAGCACCCGGCTGTTAAGACAGACAAAGTTGCATAAGCACGACATGCAACGGACCAGTTGCCCCTCACCTCCCAATGCAGCTCAGTCCGAAGCGAGTGGGCTCCTCGGACGTGAACATTATGGCTTCCAATGATCTCTTGGGCTGGAATCCCGCTCTGAAACAAGGGCAGCAGAAAGTGGGCACCTCATGCTTGATTTCCATGCTCACCTCCTCAGAGCTTTGATAGCTTCCACAGCGCCTACAACACCAACGACGCCGTCATATTTCCCAGCGTAAGGAATAGCATCCGTGTGTGAACCCGATGCAACAACAGCCTGGGATGGCTCGCTCCCTTGCCTGCTTTGCTCGTTTGCATGTAGTGTGAGTACAAATGAAGCTTACCAGCGGCCAAAGATATTTCCAATAGCATCCTCACGGACAGTAAGCTGTGCTGACTCCATAAGTTCTCGAATGAAGCTGCGAGAAATCAGGCCCTGTCGTTAGTTGATTACACCGCGAAGAATCCATGCACCTTCTTGCTGCAACATCATTGTCTGTGTAGAGGATTCGGGTGACCGACGGAGCTGGTGTATCCGAAAAGGTTGCAAGCTTGTCTATCTGTTGGTTTGATTTATCGTACATGAAGGCGAAGCAACTAGGAGAGGAGCACTCACCGCGTCCTGGATGTCATCGGGATTGACCTCGAGGTTGGCTGGGTCGAAACTGGTGCACAAGCTGCCGAAACGAGCCGTGGGGCAAGAACTGGTCAGGCCCACTGGATCCTCTTGGGCGTCGAATGCTAGGAGGAGAAGGAAGAGTGAATGAAGGAGCGCACAGAGCAGCGCCATGGCCGCCATCTGATTAGAGCGTAGAGACCCAAGACTAGGTAGAGGCAAAATTGAATTGAAGAGGAGAAGAGGTAACAAAGCGCGTGTACAATAAAAGAAACAAGGCGATACGAAGCACACAATTTTGTCTTGGGAATCAGCGCCTCCTGCTCATGATTCCTCGCGCCAGCATGGGGTCGGAAGGGCAGTCGACGGCGATGTGACCCCGGCCGCCGCAGTTGTGGCATACCACCACCTGCCTGCAGTCCTTGCTCATGTGGCCCGGTTGCTTGCAGTTGCGACAAAAGATATCGGAGTAGGCTCCCAGGGCGCGGGAGGATGGCGGCGGCATGGAGGAGTAGGGGCACTCACGGGCAATGTGGCCCGGCTGGCTGCAGCTGTTGCAGACGGGAGTGTTGGAGCAGTCGCGCGCCAGGTGGCCCGACTGGCGGCAGTTGTTGCATGCCTTTTCGTTGGGGCACTCGGCGGCCAAGTGCCCGGGCCTGTAGCAGTTGTTGCACAGAAGCGACTTGGGAAGGCCAGTCTCTTGGACGATGCAACCCTTGGCAACGTGCCCCGACTTGCCACACAAGTTGCAGATGGGTTCGTTGCGGCACTCGCTCGCAATGTGACCCGGCTTCTTGCAATTTCGGCACAGCGGCTCTGTTGGGCATTCGGCAGCGATGTGCCTGGAAGGGCACGCACCAAGGTCACAATCGAGCGCACAAAGAGAAAAAAAAAACACCAAAGTACCCAGAGATGCCGCAGTTGTTGCACACTGACGCATTGGGGCAGTCTCGCGCAAAATGTCCGGTGCGGCGGCAATTGTTGCACAGCTCAACCAGCGACCTGAGCACCATGACCTAAGGGCCGCAAGGCAAAACAAGATGAAACCCACCTTGACGGAGCGCGGCTTCTTTCTCGGGAAGGCAACCTATACGGAGCACTCCGGCGAGAGGAGCGCTTGCCCACAATGCCACTCTGAATGCGGCGCCCTCTGTGTGACGCTAGATCGTCCAAGCTCATCCCAAGCTTGGTCTGCGTGTCGAGCGAGACGGACATCCTTGCCAAGAAAATTCTTACCCCACAAACTGGTTTAGGGCTCCAATCCAAGCAAGACCTAAAACTTCGCTCTGCGTTCGGGACGTTAGGTCTCCTCCCCAAAAAATCAAAGCCGTAAACAGAAACAAAAGATTTCATTCCTCTGCCAAGACATCCACATGTAGGCGCACCAACTTTATCGACGCCACCGCCAACTCCAGCCTCCATTCCCTCTGCCTCCTGTTGAGCACCCTGCCCTTGCCCCGAGCTTCCCTGTTGACCCGCACATTGGCCAGCTTCCAGACGCTCGTCAGCGATTCCCTGTCAAACGACTCCAGCACCAAGATTTGCTGCTGCTCCACTGAGCCATCCGCGTAGTAGACCACCTGCATTGGCAGCTCCTTGAACCGCTCTAGCTCCGCAGGGATCTGGACGACACGCTCCGCACCAGGGCTCGACACCTCTATAGCAACGTTAGCAGGGACAAGGCCAGCGCGTCCAGCCTCCTCGATAAGCGCCCCATACTCCGTGTTGAACTTCTCCACCTCCTCAATGGTTGGAGAGCCAAACCTGAGGAGTACCATGAGGAGCAGAGCGCGCAGGAAACAGGCATACCTGTCGGTGAGTTTGTCCAGCCGCACCTGTATGAAGCCCGTGGAGCACACTTTGAAGCCGTAGAGAGCAAGCTCCGGCGTCAGCATCCTCCGGGCAATATCCAAGGCCCTTGCACCCCAGGGAGCGGCCCCGAGCACCACTCCGCCTCCATCCTCACCATCCCCCACCTGGCACACACAAGTCTCTCCATAGCACAGGCGGCTCAAGATGAAGCGAAGCGCTCACCTCCGCTTCTTTCTCCCCGCCGTCAAACCCTCCAAATCCGTCATCTTCCAAGGTCGAGCACCTTACACTGTCAACACAGTGGCCATAATGCAAAGTAGCAAAGGCGCTTGATACACACCTTGGCTCTCATCGCCTGACTCTGATCCATCCGACCATTCTTCCGCGTCGCTCTCCTCCTCCTCCTCCTCCTCTTCACGGGTCGCAGACGACGGGGGCACGGCACCACCGGCAACGGGGCTGCGTGCTGTCCTTGTTCCAAACACCCTCACGCTTGTGCCCGGGCATCCCGTCATCCACGACCGCGACCGCCACAAGAGCGCACCAGGTGAGGCGACGCATTGGCACCGGCGATTGAAGCCACAGCAGCGACTGGCCACCAGCAGCGATGCATCGCCACACACCAACGTTGCCGCTGCTCGTCGCATTTCTGCCAAAACCCTCGGCGAATATGCCCCGGCTATATCTACGAGCTACCCTGCCTTTGACAAGAGACCTAATCTCTTCAGATTTAAGCAAGGTCCGGGATCTCGTCTCTTCTGCAAAAACTGACGTGTTTGGATCCAGCTCGTTTTTTCCCACTCCACAGCGTCTGCCAAATGGGGGACAACGCCAACTCGAATGAATCCAGCTCGCCCTCTCTGCATCTGGCAAGATCTCCTCCCCAGCCCTCGCCAATTCGGCTCTCCAAATTCGCATCTGTAAGGCTCCCTAGATCTGGATTGTGTGATGCGTTTTCTGTGTGTTTTGTGCAGCAAAAGATGAGGATCCTAGTCACTGGCGGCGCGGGCTTCATTGGATCTCACCTGGTTGATCGCCTCATGGAAGCTGGTACCAATGAGGTGCGTGGTCGTGCATGAATCCGCACGCATTTTACTTGCCGCGCAGGTGATTGTCGCTGACAACTTCTTCTCTGGGACGAAAGACAACCTCAGGCGCTGGATCGGCCATCCAGACTTTGAGCTTCTGCGCCATGGTATGGTGCGCACAAGTGTTGCAACTATGATCATGCTGCTCCCTGTTTCAGACGTCACGGAGCCTTTGCTTGTGGAAGTTGACCAGATTTACCATCTGGCATGTCCCGCTTCTCCCATCTTCTACAAGTACAATCCCGTGAAAGTGAGTAGCTGTTTAAAAACACTACTAGTTCATCCCAATGCTGGCTTTTCCAGACCATCAAAACGAATGTGATGGGCACACTAAATATGCTGGGCCTTGCCAAGCGTGTTGGAGCCAGGTTAATCTCCTCTCTTGTCACAAGAGCAAGCAAACTAACTCGCATTCTCAAACCATACAGGATTCTACTCACGTCAACCTCCGAAGTTTATGGGGATCCACTGGAGCATCCACAAAAGGAGGAATACTGGGGCAATGTGAATCCCATAGGTACGTGCACCAGATATTTGTCTTGTCTACTGCCTGCTCATTGTGCCGAGCAGGTGTTAGGAGCTGCTACGACGAGGGAAAACGCGTGGCCGAAACGTTGATGTTTGACTATCACAGGCAGCACGGGATTGGTTTGCTCGATTGCTTTAGCTTGATGACGCTGGTTCTGACGTCCAGTAATTCTCAGAGATAAGGATCGCTCGCATTTTCAACACTTACGGGCCCCGGATGAATATCGACGATGGACGGGTCGTTAGCAACTTCATTGCCCAAGCTCTAAGGTATGCTGCATGCGAAATGGATGTCCTGCTGTATAATCTTGACAGGGGGGAAACAATGACCGTCCAAGCTCCTGGTAGCCAAACACGCAGCTTTTGCTATGTTTCGGATCTGGTATGTTACGTTCCCATATGTTTGCAAGCCTTTACTTTTGGCATCGATGCTTGCAGGTTGACGGCCTCATCAAACTGATGGCTTGCGATGACACTGGTCCCATCAACCTCGGAAATCCAGGTAAAGAAACAGAAGCACCATCTCTTCTTTTCTGGTACTGATCGTCTCGTTTTCAGGCGAGTTCACAATTCTAGAGCTGGCAGAAGCCGTGCGAGAGGTTCGTAGCTTTGTGTATATAGCTAGCTAAACAACTTTGAACTGTTCAGCTGGTGGATTCATCTGCTAAGTGGAAGGTTGTTGACAACACTCCAGATGACCCTCGAAAGCGCAAGCCAGACATTACGAAAGCAAAATCCATATTGAAGTGGGAGCCCAAGGTTTGTGCAAAGTCTCTTTCGGCCCCTAATCTTTGTGTACATCGTAACCAGGTTGCACTTCGAGACGGATTGCCGTTGATGGTTGAGGACTTTCGAAGCAGACTGGGCATACACAAATAGGAAGGCTATTACTCAAGTTTTCTTCCCAGGCTTATTCTTTTTACTGGATGTGGGAACTTCAAGGCCCTTCTGTTTGGCCTTCCTTGCGAGAACTGCAGGCCTTTTCTTCTTTCTTGCCTCACCCTCTTTGGCGTCTTTGCCTGCCACAGTGAGTCGCTGGGGAAAGGCGCGTCTCTTTTGTCCAGAACGGCTACCTTCGTAACTCCGAGTCTTCACCTTGCTTTCTGTTGCAGGCTTGTTGTAGCGGCGCCTTGGTTTCGTTGTCTCTTGTTGGCTGCGATTAGATACTCGACGAAGCCTCAGCTTCCTGTTGCGCAGCTCAAGAGCACCTCTTTCAAATGTATGCTTGACATCGTCCTGGAATGCTGAGTGAGGTACAAGTTTTGAAGGCACAGCACGAACCTTGGACTTGAACAGCACAAATGCGAAACCTTTGCCAATGTTGGTCTTCTGATCTCTGACGACACGCACAGCCTCCAGCGCCACATCAGGAACAGAAAACAGAGCATAGAGCTCTTCATCCTGTAAGTGTTCACTCATGAGAAGGCAAGCTCGTTGCTAAGCCTGTACCTCGACATCTAAAGGCAGGTTTCCAACAAAGATGGAACGATCCTTATCGTAAGAGACGGCTCCCTTGGACAATTGACTCCGGGCTCCAGCAATGTCCACACGGATGTGTTTGCCTCCAAACTGCAAAGCTAGACATAAGCCTGGACAGACTGTGCTGTTTCCTTTGTACCTCGCTCATGTTGTATGTGAGCGCCGCTCTTGCAGAGTCTACGTGTTTGAAGACAACGTAGGCATTCAAACTGTGGAAGGGAGAGAGAGTATGAGACAGGCAGTAGAGATTGCATACCTGCTTCGGTTGTCGCTGAGGTTGCGAGTTATGACAGCGCCCCTCCTTGGCATCTTGGTCTGCACAAAGCATCGGAGATATATAAGCTGGTTACACTTTGGATGTCCGGCTCACCGTTCCAACAGGCACCGATCGCAAGCGAGCCGACTCGATGGCTCCGAAGCATGACAAGGTCCTAATCAGCACCTTCTTCCTTGTGTCCAGTGGCAGATTACCCACAAATACGGTCCTCTGCAACTTCTCGTCGCTGTCATAGCGGCATTCCTCGTCTTGTTCCCGCAAGCTAGCATCAGCTTCATCTTCCAGCTGCTCATCATCACACTCATCGCTATCTTCATCCTCCGTTACCTCTGGTGCTGGCCTTGGCCTCTTTGGCATGCGCGCTGCTTCTCCATCATCCACATCCGCGGCAGCGCGCTTGAATGGATTGGAGGAGGAGAAGAGCGAGGAGGCGGCGGCACACACCTGTTCGCCCGCCATCGGGAGGCCTTGCCCTAGTCTGACAAGCCTAGGTCATACTCGTATGGCTGCTGTGGCCGTGCAGGTGTGGTGTGCGAGCGCCTCGATCGAACAGGGGCTTGGGCGGCGGAGGCAAAACGCCAGCAGCGTCGAGTTTGGCGGCAGTGGTCAAGAGCTGCTCGGGGCGAGGGCGGCGACACCAGCAAAACCGGAGCAACGGTGGCGCTTGGAGGACATTCTGCTCGTCCACGATGCAAGCGATGAGCTGAAGCGGTCCATTGTCTCCAAGAGGAAGGTGGCGGCAGCCGCGATGGTGGCAGCGATGCAAGCCGCCAAGTTTGGGCCGACCTCCTCCAACTGCATTGTTGGCCACCTCTCCCACTTCATGGACACCATCATCACCAGGGCAGTGGTGCTCAAGCGCGACCCCAGCTACGCTCACCTCTCCTTCGCCACCCGAGCCAGGTACTGCATTGACAAGTCCCGCGTGGTGCCGCTGATAAGGTGAGCGCAGCCAGCTCTCGGCCTCACGGCTAGCAGCGCTTAACGCGTCCTTGTCACGTGTAGATGGCTGCGACACAACCACTTGACGGCCTCCAAGATTGGGGAGCTCATCTGCTACGTCGGGGACGAGGTGGATCACCTCCGCTTGCGGGTGGAGTGGCTCAAGAATCTTCACGTCAAGGGGAGAGACCTGGGTGCGGTGCTCAGCAAGCAGCCCGCGCTCCTCCTGCGACCTTTCAACGAGCTCAACCACAACGTTGCTCTTCTGGAGAACGCGGGACTCAAGAGGGAGTGGATGGGACTCGTCTTCACCTTCTCTCCTTCGGTCTTGCTTGAGGATCACGACCAACTCAATCGAAGGATTGGAATGTTTACCGAGTTAGGAATTGACGAGTACAGCTTTGGAACAATGGCATTCAACTTCCCTCCTATCCTTGGCCGTCTTTCAATCCAGGAGATGGCTGCAAAGGTTAGTCCCTTCTTTACGTTTTGTATAAGCTATCATTCTGGCAGTTGGATTATCTGCGAGGCTTTGGGCTGGGAGACCACACAATCGGAAACATGGTTGTAACGCGGCCTCATTTACTGGGTGCCAGTGTGGAAGAGTCGTGGCAACCAATTGTCAAGTTCCTGTATTGCCTGGGCGTTGAGCGCTCAGGCATCCGAAGGATTCTGTCCCTCAACCCCTCTGTCCTCTGCCTCGACCTTTCCATAAACATTGTTCCAAAGGTAGCGTGCTTTCTGCCACCTTTACCGGCTCTCACGCTTACCATGGAACAGGTCCAGTTTCTGAGGGCCATCGGCGTGCACGAGGAAGTGATTGGGCAGGTGCTCGTTGGCTTCCCGCCGTTGCTCACCGCAAGCCTCAACAAAAGGATCAGGCCCGTGGTAAGTTTGTGCTGTGGAGTGAGTGGATGGTAGTAAGTGACACGGGTGCCCAACAGGTCCGGTTTCTCCTCGACGATGCTGGTGTGAGCGAAGACAAGATTGGCAAGGTGATTGCGTCACAGCCCGAGATCATAGGATGTAGCCTCAACCTCCGGCTGTCGGACAACGTGAGGTTTTTCATGTCCTTGGGAATACAGAGCCATCAGCTGGGCCAAATGATCGCAGACTTCCCCATGCTTGTCAAGTACAATCCAGCGGTTCTTGAGCCCAAGTATCTCTACCTCAAACGTGTAATGCGACGGCGGCTAGAGGAGGTGATCAAGTTTCCCAGGTACATGTGTATAAAAGCAACGTCAAGCTTGGCTTGGCTGACTCAGTTTCTCAGGTTCTTCAGCTACGCTCTAGAGTCGAGGATAGTTGCGAGGCATGAGCTGCTGGAGAGGAAGGGCCTGCAGTTTAGGCTCAAGCAGATGCTAGCTTGCAGCGACGAAGAGTTTGGACGCAAGGTGTACGCTGCGGAGCGAGGCCTTGTGGAGAGAGAGACAAGCGACAGTGATGATATTAGGGCTTGAGGTGAGATGGCCTGCCCGTTTGGTGGAGCGACTCACGAGGTGAGCGACAGCAGCCCCAAGTGCCCACTTGGCTACGACACTGCCTCGTTCAAGCTCGGCCCCTTGAGCTGTCTAGTGTGCCGGGCTCTCCTCTTCAAGGCCGCGCGCTGCCTTCCCTGCCGCCATGTCTTTTGCAGGTAAAACACAGACGAGACGAGAAATTTGTGAATGGTTTTGGTCTCGTGGCAGCGCTTGCATTGCCCGCTTCAGCGACTGCCCCCTGTGTGGTGTCGACATAAGCGGGCTTGAGGAGGATGGCGAGCTGCAGAAGCTGGTTGACCAGTTCATTCAGGGACACGCCAGGGTACGGAGGCAGCAGCAGCAGCAAGAAGAGGGGCCTGTGGTTTACGAGGACGCCAGCCTCGCCAGGGGAAGCTTTCTCCTCCAGCATGCCATGCGAGTGTGGTGGTTTGTTTTTTGCATCGAGCCATTGATGGATTCGCGTCTCGACGATGCAGGCCTTTCAAGCGCAAAACCTGGAGAGCTCCAAGGCTAGACTGGACCTTTGTGTCGAGGACACGAGGGAGATGATGGAGACCAAAGGGGCTTCGGCGGAGGTGTGCTCGCAACATGGTGCTGTTCTTGGTTTATTGGGCGACTGCCTGTAAGTTGAAGGCTTGCATGCAAGCATGGCTGCTTGTGATTCCATGGGAGCGTTTTGTGTGTAGGCGAGCCATGGGAGATTTGGATGGCGCGATGGACAAGTACGCAGAGAGTGTGAGCGTCCTCCAAGCCATAACTGGCGTCGACGTGAATGCGGAAGTGAGCTTTTCCCCACGTTTGTATTTAACTGAGCTCTCGCTCGTAATGCACAGATTGTTCATGCATTGTCGGTGTCCCTTAACAAGCTGGGTGATCTCAAGTACTACGCGGACGATCTCGAGTGCGCCCTGGCCTTGTACAAGCAGGCGCTACAAGTCCGAGACAGGGCTCAAGCTGGCCGGAACGACTTGTCAGCAGAGGTACGTCAAGATAAGGGCTCGTGCCTTAACGTTGGCGTCTGTGTGTGTGCAGAGCATCGACGTGGTTGTGTCGTTGGCCAAGGTTGCAGACGTGCAGCGTGCCATGGGACGAGACAGCGAGGCGGCGGAGGGATTTACCGCCGCCATCACCAGGTTGGAGCACCTCACCTGTCCGCCGTCGCCACGGGACGAATCTCTGAATAAACGGGTACGGCTACGCACTTACTATTTGTGTCCCAAGCTCACTTCTTGTTCCACACACAGCGGGCTTCCGTTCTCGGCTTCCTCCATGCCCAGCAGCAGCAGCAGCAGCAGCAGGAGACCAAGGCGAAGAAGAAACAAGCACAAGCTCCTTGATTCGAGTTTCTCTCATTTTCAATAATAAATAGCGCGTGTAGTAAAAAGAAAAAGGGTGTCCGGAATCGAACCCCAGACGCAAAAGGGAGCTTTAAGCGTGTATATATAATTCCCCTGTTTCTCTCTCTCTGCGCTGTGCGGCGGAGCTCCTGGATCGGGGCGGCGGTTTTTGGATCGGATCGGATTGCGGATCTATACCACCCTTTGCTGCCGCCACATCCATCCAGCCTTTGGGTATGCTTATTCTCATGGATCGCACCACTTGATTGTGACTCCGTGTGTTGTGACAGATTCGAGGATTGGGGCCTGGGCAGCTGACTTCCACGAGATCGGTTGCTGAATCCGCAAAGTATGGCGGGATGGTTCAAGGGGACGGTCAAGGCTGTGCCATCCGGGGATTCTCTGGTGATCATGGGAACCGCCAAGGAAGGAATCCCGCCAGAAAAGTCCATCACGCTTTCCTCGCTCATGGCTCCAAGGCTGGTGAGTGCAAATTCTGGTTTTGCAGGCAGTGATCCGGTCTCATGCCTTTTGCTGGCTTGGCAGGCCCGAAGGGACACCAGCGATGAGCCTTTCGCATGGGACAGCCGGGAGTTTCTCAGGAACAAATGCATCGGGAAGGTTTGTGTTCATGCTCGCCACTCCCTGCCACTTCTCTCACGCTCGTGGTCGTGGCCATCTAGGAGGTGACTTTTAAGGTGGACTATGCCGTTGCAAACCTCAACAACAGAGAATTTGGCTCTGTGTTTATGGATGACGCCAACGTCGCGCTTGCCGTTGCCAGCGCTGGATGGGCCAAGGTACAGGTGATGCAAACCTTTGCTTAGATCTGCCATCTTTCCTGCAGGTCCGACAAGGTGCAGAGAAGAGTCCTTTTATCGAGGAACTCCTCAAGGCTGAAGAACAAGCACGGCAGCAGGGCCTTGGAATATGGAACAAGGTACGAAATGGAGGAGGTTGCGCCCCACCCTGACTATAAGCTTGTCACCTGTGTTGCAGGAAGCTGGCGAGCGATCCATACGCTCAATCCCCCCATCTGCAATCGGTGACACGTCCACCTTTGATGCCCGTGCTCTCCTTGAGTCTAGCAAGGGGAAGCCTCTTCGGGCATTTGTGGAGCAAGTGAGGGACGGGAGCTCATTCCGAGTCTATTTACTCCCAAGCTTTCAGTTTGTACAGGTGCATCTAGCTGGAGTTCAGGTATGCACCAACCCTTTCCTTCTTCCTTTTTTTTTTCTTAGCAGTCGCTCTCAGGCTCCGTCAATGGGAAGACGGGTGGCTCCGGCCAGTGCGGGAGGTGGCGGAGATGCCAAAGACGCGGAAAACGGAGAGGCAGGAGAGGGAGCAGCGGCACCAACGACACTTACCACTGCTCAGAAGCTGGCAGCGTCCACCAACCTGGAAGCTCCCGAGGAATGGGCAAGAGAGGCAAAGCACTTCACGGAGTGCAGGATCTTGCATAGAGAAGTATGCTCTCTTCTTCAACTTGCTTCATCCCCTGATAAATCCTTGTGTGGCAGGTTATAATCGTCTTGGAAGGGACGG